GGCTGGAGATAAAGAAATACTTCCCACAGTCCCTGCTCGGAAGGACTGCTCACCCAGGGGCTGCTCGCAGCAGAATGCTCTGCTGAGGTCCTGGGAGCAAAGGATTGGAAATGCAAGGCCTGACCTATGCTTGACAGATATCCAGGAAACATAAACAGCACGTATTGACAGGCAGACATGGTCCAAGGGTTTTCATACACATGATCTCATCATTTCACTAACCAAGGGAGTGCTTATTATTTTGTCTAATGTACACACGAGATTTAGAAAAAGTAAAAGAACAGCTCCGATCACACAGATAGTATGTGGCAGAACTCAGTTTCCGTGTGCCTGAACTTTCGCTTGTGCTCTATATACCAAGTAATCAAATCTGCAGAGTCTCAGACAGGGATAATGATTTGGTCAGCTGGGGTCTTTTTCCTGGTTGCTTTGTAACCACTGAATTCTTACTCTTTACAGACAGACAGACAGACAGACACACACACACACACATACACACACACACACACACACACACACACATACTAAAGCCAGTCCTCTCTGAAATACCACCTTTTTCTAGAGGAGGAACTGTCTACCTAGAGAGCAAGCCTGCTGTGGTCCCCATGCGGTCCCTGTGCCTGATTCAGCACCCAGGAGGAGGGAGGGAGACACAGGGACTGCGAGTGATGGTGGCTAGCTAGCTGCAAACACAATCTAATCTCATCTTCTGCCTCCGCTGGACGCATCTCAGGAATGTGGGAGGCTAGCATGTCAGATAGGCAATTACTGGCCGGACGCAGCATTGCATAATGGGTTGATGACTGGGACTTCCGGCTTCAGCGCGAACGCGGCCAGCTTGCCAGAAAGGATTTATCTTCCCAAGAGAAACATGCCAACTTTAGGAGGATATGAAGTAACTGTTATTATGGGAAAAAAAAAAAAAAGACAGGCTTAATTTGAAAATACTCAAGGTCCCTTTCAGCTTGTGCTCTGTCTACACCCCCTCCCCCAACCGCCCCGCTTCCTCCTTCCTCCTCTGGTTCTATTTTCTGTTTCTCTATCCTTTCATGTTCCCAGGCCTCTGAGAGTCCACCTTTATCTTCTCCTGGGTTTGTTGTCGCACTGGCTTTCTGTGCAAATTTTCACCCCACTTCAGTTTTTGAGAGAAGGGTCTTGATTCTTCACAGACAAGATCCACGGGGCTGATAAAAATAAAGACGTGTCTGTGGGGGGATTTGTGTAGGAGGACCTTGCAAACCGAAGATTAGATAGAAAAAAGACACAACGACAACTTTGTAGGTCTCTCATGATAACTAAACAATCCAGTTGACCTGGAACCTTCCCAGGCTCACAAAGGCTTCGCAGTAGGTGCTCTGTAAACACCTTGACTACCATAGATTCCTTTGAATCATTGACTCACCTTCTCAGTGTGGCTGATTTCCTGCACTGAGAAAAAAAAATTCTTTGCAAAAAATGAGACAAATGAGTAGCAGACAGAGTTCTTATAGACATTCCTGCTTAATGACTTTTTTCTTACCTAGATGAGGACAGTAAAATTCAGGATGATAAAGTCATCGACTCAGAGGTTCCCAGAATCCTTTAGAACCTCTGGTACCAGAAGTCAATATTTCCAACTCCTTATTCTACTTTCTATTAATACACAATGCTCTCTTTCTTCCTGTTAAATACGATATTTTTTATGTAATACAAAAATATCACAGCTTAAAAAAATTTTTAAAAAAAATCACAGCTAAACTATTATGGACTCATACAACATAAATACAAGAAAATTTCACACGGATATAGAAATTCTTAGTAAATATTTATTATTGTCTAGAATGTCCATGCATTATAAAGGATACACATCATGTGCTGTCAAGACTAGTGACCTGAGTTCAGTTCCTGGGACCCATGTGGTAGAAAAGGAGAACCCATTCCTTCAAGTTGTCCTCTGACCACCACCAAGGTGACATGGCCACACACCTCCCCCCAATCAAGCAATACATGTAATTAATATATACATACATGTGTGCACACACAAATAAAATTGTAAAAATAATTAAAGAAAGAAGACAGAAAAATATACAGTGACACTCAGAAACTGATTAAATTTGAGTTCACAGTTTCATGAAAATCCTGCTTGGAATTTTAAGAGGTCAATATTAATTTTCTAGAAAAAAATTCCTGGTTCTCTCAAGGTTTTATGAGCGATTAGGCAGTTTAGTTGGCATTGGGAAGTTTTTTTTTTTTACCCCTCACAGGTTCTTGTGATGTTTCATTTTGGACTTTGAAGGATGAAGGTCATATTCAGAGAAGGAAAGACAACTGCCTCAAGGCCCCATCCTACGAAGCAAACAGGAAGTTGTAGGGAAAGCTGAAGCCATCTGGCTGGCCTCTGGGTCTCATCCTTTTTACCTTCTTTCTTCATCATGGGCCATCACATTTTCCAAGTACAGAAGAAAGCAGCTCTTTCTGCTTGGTGTCCTCAAAACTCTGAGGTCATGAAGAAACGACTGGTGAATTTTACGTCATCACAGCATGATCCACCAACACACTAAGATTCCTAGCCAGTGCCCATGACCACCGTCTTCACAGTCCTGATCTTTGACCTCTTTCAGCTTTTCCTTCCAAAGAGCATCTATCTCTTTTCCCATCATCCCCAGGAGACAACTAACAAGGTTTAAATGTGAGCAATGATCTCTGGGTGACAGAGGGGTGTCAGTCTCTTCCCCTGGTCAACTAAAGCGGTAAAGCTAACTTTTTCTCCATGTGGTGTTTCACCACGGCGTGAACCTGTGCAGCAGATGAAGAAGGCTCAATAACAGCTTCTTATGTTTCATTTTGTGTAAATAATCTCGTGATAGACACTGTCAATCCCTAATTCCTCACCGCGGAGCTCCTGTGCCAGGTCTGAGCCAGAATAGAAGGATCTAAGAAAGACTACTCTGAGATGGATTGAAGTGTGAGAGCTGAAGGAGTTTTGCTGACACTCTCTGCACCATTTCCATGCCAGGGCAAGTCTTGGTGCCAGGCAGGCATCTATTGTCACCACCACATGCTCACCACCCTTTTTCTTCCTTCTCTTTTCCCTTTCATTTCTGCCTTCCTCTCTTCTCTCTTTCTGTCTCTTTTCTATCCTTTACTTCTCTTCATTCTTTTCTCTTTCTTTACCTCTCTCCCTCTCCCTCCCTCTCTCTCTCTCTCTCTCTCTCTCTCTCTCACACACACACACACACACACACACACA